ATCAATGAATTGTTTAAACTTTTTTAACTTCAAAGTATGTAAGTCTGTTTAACTTCTATCGTACCATTACGTAGCCAACCGCGCTAAGCGTAGGTGCGGGGGAAGGACAACAAACTAAGCGCAAAAAAGCAGTTCTAATGAAATGAGTTTTCAGCGTAGATTTGAAAGTGCATAGCTCCAGTGGTGTCCAAATAATAACGAAGGCCCTTGTACATTTCTTGATAATTTTTCGCAATTAGAACTTTAAAACCCTGCAATTAAAATAGTGAAAAGGTTATATAGTCTACATAACCACACCTTTTATCACATTCGTTTTGTTTTCATTTGTAAATGCCCAGCCACACAGGTGTGCCACAAGTTCTGCTCTAAACGTTTGGACGGTCAGTCGGTCAACTATGTGATGAGGGAGGGAATTCCACGGCATCGGGCGAGAAATCGATGTACGAACTGACCTGCATTGATCAGCGTGGTGAAGTATGGTAACAAATAAATAAATACTCCTAGGCCAATATTAAAGTGAGCAAGCCTCCATACAGCAGTTTGAGTTTTCCGGTATGCTTTGACCAATTTGGCCGATATTCAAATGAGTCTCCCCCTTAGTGATGGGACACTTGGGACAGTTCGGAGATAATGTGTAGTGACATAAGAAGGGAGGGGCTGCTGGGGGCTCTGGGACCCTGGGTGGGCCAGACGCTTAAGTCTCTTGGCACCAGGCGTTGGGTTCTCAGGCGGGTCCAGACGCTTAAGCCTCTTGGCACCAGGCGTTGGGTTCTCAGGCGCTTAAGCCTCTTGGCGCCGCCAACGGGAGGGGGGCTCTGTGTGTGCTCTGTGGGATGTCTGGTGGCGCACACGGCCCCACCCCTCGTTGGACCAGGCATAAAAGGAGAGCTCCCTGGACGATCGGGGCCCAGTTGTAACTCAAGACCCAAGACCCAAGACCCACGACCAGCCATCTGAAGACCCTGGGATGCTGTGAGAGCCAGTGGTGGGACTCTGGAATTCCCGACTCTACGACCTTGTGAGGGCGAGTTTCCAGAGCGTAGCCAGAGTAGAGTATCTAGGCTGTGTACCTAGGCTGTGTACCTAGGCTGTAACAGAGTATCAGGACTGTTGGAGAGTTGGACTGTTGGAGAGTTGGACTGTTGGAGAGTTGGACTGTTGGAGTGTTGTATTGTAATAAAGAAGTTACCTCTACAAGTGTCTCTGGAACCCGTTACATTTGGCGTCAGAAGTGGCTATGGAGACAAGAAGTAAGCCACGTACCTTCAGTCCTGACGGCGATGAACAGGAGCAAGCAGCGATGGGGCGGCCAAAGCCGGCCGACAGCGACGCTGCACCGCCGGCCGACAACAACGCCGCACCGCCGGCTGAGCAGCTGTCTGCTCCGCCGACCGTCCCCTCTCCAGCGTCGGGAGCAGGAATGGAGGAGGCGCTGCTTCGCCTCGCAGAGCTGCTCTGCGCCACCGCCTCCCTCCTGGGCGAGATGCGGTGCTCGCGGCCGATGGCGGGAGGGAGAGAGGAGGCGCGGCGCTCGCCCGAGCCCGCCGCCGCCATTTCCGCCACCGGCATTCCCCCCACGGATGTGGGAGATGCTTCCGGGTGTGTCGTCACTTCTGCCGGGGGAGCAATGACCGCTGGGAGCGACGTCACTTCTGGGCTCAGCGCTGTCCAACTTAGCAACGCCGCGTCATCAGCGCTGCGTCCCTCACCGCCGGGTGACAGCTGTTTGCAACCTAGCAACGCTGCGTCATCAGCGCTGCGACCTTCACTGCCGGACGACAGCTGGCTTCAACCTAGCATACCGCGTCATCAGCACTGCGACCGGACAGTGAGGGCACCATTCTTACTGTAACCGGCGCTGGGACTGGCACAGCGACCGACACGCTGGTCGCCGCCTTTGCTGCTCTGGCCAAAGGTTGGAGGTCGGGAGACCAGGCCCCTGACACTTCGTACATTTACGCGCTCCGGATTAATGATTTTTTTGTTGATATTTTCTTCGTTGTCGTCGGGGAGTCGTGACTGTTGTTGGGTAAACTGTGTGGAGCTTCGCTCCAATGTATGGTTTGTATTGAGCTTACTTCGTGATTGTTAATGTATAGCTTGTGCTGTCATTGTTAACGATGTATATACTGTATGGGGCATTTATCTTGAGATGGTGACATGCTGCCAAGGATTTGGAATTGTCATGCTGGCTCTCAAATATCTTGGGGTGCAGATCCTGACCAGGATGGCCCAGCGGGTGTTGCGTGTCTAACACGAGAGTTGTGGTCCCGTCATGCTATGGCTGACGGCTTGACCTGACAGCCCGGAGATAGAGACACTCCGTGGCATGTCTAGCCTAGGGGGCTGTGTGCTCACATGACTCGGAGAGTGTGGTCCCGTCATGCTATGGCTGACGGCTTGACATGACAGCCCGGAGATTGAAACACTCCGTGGCATGTCTAGCCTAGTGGGCTGTGCGCTCACAGGGCTCGGAGAGTGTGGTCCCATCATGGAATAGCTGATGGCTTGACCTGACGGCCCGGAGGTTGAGACCCTCCGTGGTGCGTCTGGAGCAGTAGGCTCACCCTGACGGCCCGGAGATTGAAACACTCCGAGGTGTGTTGAAACAGTGGGCTGGAAATTCGTGGTGTTCAGGTGTAGTTGTCCCGTTATGTTGGGACTGTATCCCTCAGTTGTTAGGGTGCATGTTGTGCAGGGAGTGAACGATGGGTCGTCTCAGATCAGTCGGTACAGCTATATGCTGCGATGCGAGTCTTGGAGAGAGATTGGGTCTCAGCTCGGTCGGTACAGCTATATGCTGCGATGCCAGTCTTGGAGAGAGATTGGGTCTCAGCTCGGTCGGTACAGCTATATGCTGCGATGCGAGTCTTGGAGAGAGACTGGGTTGAAGTTCCCCGATATGGCCGACGCGTGCTACTGGTTGTGATGCCGCGTCGGAAAGGCGGTGGGGGTGGTAACACGGAAATTCCCCCCCGATATGGCCGACGTGCGCAGTTTTAGGATGGAGGCGCCAGGTTGGAAAGGCGGGGGGTGCTAACGGTTGACATGTAATGTCGGTGGTGGTCCTCATTCAGGGCTGCTGGGACGCAAGCACGGGATGCCTTTTGGAGATGCGGTTCGCGCGTGCGGCCACCATTTCTGGGCAGGAGCAGGCAGATTTATTTTGTTTGTGTCATGTAAATTTTATATATATTTAAAAATGTAGATACTGGAGCAGCCCTGAAGTGCGACTTCTTTGCCCAGTACATGGGTCGACCCTGAAGTACGACTTCTCGACCCGGGACGTAGACAGACGTCCGGATTAGTGTGTGAAGAGGGATGCTCGACATGTTGGTCTTCACCTTCTCACCACCTGACGGATGGGAGGTTGGCAGGGTGGTGTGGAACCCTGCCATCCATGCGGTGGTTGTGCATCCAACGCGTCGGAATCTGTATATTTGTTGTTATTAATTCCCCGTTTTCTATGCGGATCCCGAGGAGGGCTAGGTGTGCCGCGGGTCGTTTGTTCACGTGTCATTGCTTCACCTTTTTGTTGATTGATGCTTGTGTAATAACAGCCATAGAGGGTTCACGTGGGGATTGGCTTGCCGGTCCTGCTTTGTAGCCAATAAGGGTTGAGACAGAGAACATGGCCTCTGCGTGATTGCGGCGTGTTAGCAGGGGGGAGTGGCCTGGCCATTCGGGGCCCCAGCTAATGGGGAGCCGGATCAGAGGCGTGGTCCCGGGATTGACAGGGAACCATCGAGAACGGTGAATGCTGTCTACGGAGGATTGGCTGGGGGGTACCACGTGACGAAGGGATTAAGAGAGAGAGAGAGAGAACGATCGAGAGGAGACTGGGGAACGAGCAGAGCAAGAGCCACGCGCGTACGGGGGCTCTGGGTGCCACGTGCGCGGTGGGAACTTGGTGTGAAGTCTGCCTGCTCTCTGTTGTCTGCCAGCAACGGAGAGTGTGTGAGTAAAGTGTATTGTGGAAGTGGAAATAAAAAGGACCGATTCCGAAGCCGTCTCAGAAGGATTATTACACTTGTATATAGTGTAGAGTTGTACAGGTTGGTTATGGTATTTATGGTTGCTTTCTTGTTCTCTTTTCTTTTCCTGTTGAGGCTCGCGTATTTTTTTTCTCTCTCTCCCTTTCGTTAATTTAAACTTTCTAATTATTGACAGACGGGACGGCTGGAGGCTACATAGAGGGGGGTAATGTAGTGACATAAGAAGGGAGGGGCTGCTGGGGGCCAGACGCTTAAGCCTCTTGGCACCAGGCGTTGGGTTCTCAGGCGGGTCCAGACGCTTAAGCCTCTTGGCACCAGGCGTTGGGTTCTCAGGCGCTTAAGCCTCTTGGCGCCGCCAACGGGGGGGGGGGGGCTCTGTGTGTGCTCTGTGGGATGTCTGGTGGCGCACACGGCCCCACCCCTCGTTGGACCAGGCATAAAAGGAGAGCTCCCTGGATGATCGGGGCCCAGTTGTAACTCAAGACCCAAGACCCACGACCAGCCATCTGAAGACCCTGGGATGCTGTGAGAGCCAGTGGTGGGACTCTGGAACTCCCGACTCTACGACCTTGTGAGGGCGAGTTCCAGAGCGTAGCCAGAGTAGAGTATCTAGGCTGTGTACCTAGGCAGTGTACCTAGGCTGTAACAGAGTATCAGGACTGTTGGAGAGTTGGACTGTTGGAGTGTTGTATTGTAATAAAGAAGTTACCTCTACAAGTGTCTCCGGAACCTGTTACAAATGCATTCCAGTTTCCAACCTGACTTGGGCTGCATTATTCATCAGTCCTCAGACTTTCCTGAGCAAATACAACTATTGTTTTTGCTGTCAGGGTAAAAAGCACATTTGCATGTTTGTAGAGAATGACTTTTAGCGCTGGTTAGGGTCTCCCGAGTTTCGGGTAACGCTTTGACTAATTGGCCGATATTTAACTAAAAACGTAATTATTATTCTCATAGTTGTTGCTGTTGTTATTGTGGTGCATTTAGCGGCAAAGAGTAGACTCACGTTCTCGCACTGCTTGCAGGAGAAGCCCTGCAGCTTCCTCCGCTCGTCTTTATTCCGCACCACATCCACGTACGCAAACCCGGGCTGCTCCGCGCCAAGTCTGTACAACCACCACCAAAGACAAAGATCCCCCTCGTATAGCCTTTCCCAGGATTTTGAGGCAAGTACTGTTAGCGAGCAGCACATATGAAGGCTGGTATGGCACAAGAGGTGGGGGGTGGCTAACACTACGCCCGGCCGTATTTTTCTCCCCAGTTGCGATGTTTATACACCGCACCAGGTACTCATTGAGGCTGAGTCGACCTAGGGGAGTCCTAGGACCGGTTCAGATAATCGTCACTGGTGTTGGCCGTGAGCAGGAATCCAACATCGGGTTGCAGAGTTCGTAGCACCGGGCGCTAACAGCTACACTACCACAACCACCATCAAAGAGTAATTCCTGCAGTCACGAAAGCTTCAAATCTAGTTTGAACCACCATCACACCACCACATCCTTATCACCACCACAGCTATCAACACCACCACCATTACATAAACCGCCATTTGCCACTAAGTGGCAGTGACATCACCATGGCGCTTGTGCCAGGCTAGGTCAAGTCATCATTACATCACCACCACAATCATCACCATCATGACCACCTCCATCAATACCATCACCAAAACCACCCCCCCCAATCATCCCCGCCAAGACCACCTCCATCAACATCCCTACCACAATCATCATTAACACCATCGCCACCAACACTAAAACAACCAGTTCCGCCACCAACACCAACGCAATTACCTCCATCATCACTGACACGACAACCAGCATGACTCATATCGACACCAGCACCACGTGTGCTATACTCAGCAGCTCGGCATGAGATGTAATATTAGACAGGCAATGACTTGTGTGTAGTCTCATGCCAGACACAATCCCAGCAGCTCACCTGCCACCTGCGCCCACCTCCTGCCCACAGCCCTTCTGTGTTGGCGCTTTGGAACACGTGGTGTCTAGCCGATCCGGGCTGTGCGCAGCAGTGGAGATTGGTCGTTTGGTGCTGTGAGCGGCAGCAGTTGTAACTGGCTGATTGCCGCTGCATGCTTGAGCGTTGGTCGACTGGTTGGGGTAGCGTGGGGTGAGCGATGGTCGGCTGGTCATTGCAGCGTGGGTGACCGGTGATTGGCTGGTCATTACTGTGTGGGTGAGCACTGGTTGACTGTTCATTTCTGCGTGGGTGAGCGATGGGGGGCTGGTCATTACTGCGTGGGTGAGCGATGGTCGGCTGGTCATTGCAGCGTGGGTGAGCGATGGAGGGCTGGTCATTACTGCGTGGGTGAGCACTGGTTGACTGTTCATTTCTGCGTGGGTGAGCGATGGGGGGCTGGTCATTACTGCGTGGGTGAGCGATGGTCGGCTGGTCATTGCAGCGTGGGTGAGCGATGGTGAGCTGGTCATTACTGCGTGGGTGAGCGATGGTGAGCTGGTCATTACTGCGTGGGTGAGCGATGGTGAGCTGGTCATTACTGCGTGGGTTAGCGATGGTCGGCTGGTCATTGCAGCGTGGGTGAGCGATGGTGAGCTGGTCATTACTGCGTGGGTGAGCGATGGTGAGCTGGTCATTACTGCGTGGGTGAGCGATGGTCGGCTGGTCATTGCAGCGTGGGTGAGCGATGGTCGGCTGGTCATTACTGCGTGGGTGAGCGATGGTGAGCTGGTCATTACTGCGTGGGTGAGCGATGGTCGGCTGGTCATTACTGCGTGGGTGAGCGATGGGAGGCTGATCATTACTGCGTGGGTGAGCGATGGTCGGCTGGTCATTGCAGCGTGGGTGAGCGATGGTCGGCTGGTCATTACTGCGTGGGGTGAGCGATGGTGAGCTGGTCATTACTGCGTGGGTGAGCGATGGTCAGCTGGTCATTACTGCGTGGGTGAGCGATGGTGAGCTGGTCATTACTGCGTGGGTGAGCGATGGTCGGCTGGTCATTACTGCGTGGGTGAGCGATGGGAGGCTGATCATTACTGCGTGGGTGAGCGATGGTCGGCTGGTCACTGCAGCGTGGGTGAGCGATGGTGAGCTGGTCATTACTGCGTGGGTGAGCGATGGTCGGCTGGTCATTACTGCATGGGTGAGCGATGGTCGGCTGGTCATTACTGCGTGGGTGAGCGATGGTGAGCTGGTCATTGCTGCGTGGGTGAGCGATGGTCGGCTGGTCATTGCAGCGTGGGTGAGCGATGGTGAGCTGATCATTACTGCGTGGGTGAGCGATGGTGAGCTGGTCATTACTGCGTGGGTGAGCGATGGTCAGCTGGTCATTGTTGCATGGGTGAGCCATGGTCAGCTGGTCATTACTGCGTGGGTGAGCGATGGTCAGCTGGTCATTGTTGCATGGGTGAGCGATGGTCGGCTGGTCATTGCAGCGTGGGTGAGCCATGGTCAGCTGGTCATTACTGCGTGGGTGAGCGATGGTCGGCTGGTCATTGCTGCGTGGGTGAGCGATGGTCGGCTGGTCATTACTGCGTGGGTGAGCGATGGTGAGCTGGTCATTACTGCGTGGGTGAGCGATGGTCTCCTGGTCATTACTGCGTGGGTGAGCGATGGTCTCCTGGTCAGAGCTTCGTGGGTCAGCGATGATCTTCTGGTCATTACTGCGTGGGTGAGCGACGGTCGACTGGTCATTCAGGCAGAAGGACACGTACTCCTCTCCATCACAGGTTCTGTCAAAGAGGTCGTCCAGGCTGTCATTGCAAATGTACGTGGTCTCTCTGCCTGCACGACAGATAAAACAATAAAAACAATCACACTTTGCCCCTCGGATGTTTGTCCACGCAGTCGACATTCACGGAGCTGTGCCCAACTGCTCACTCTGCTGTCATACAAATAAGGTGGTTATCGTGTTGCCCTCTGAACCCAGCGACCCGAGTTCAATTCCCGGCTGTGTCTAAACATCGGTCCTGGGCCCTTCACCAACGCTGACCCGCAATACTGACCAGCGTGGTGAGCTTGGTCCAACAGCCACCGTGACCGTGATGGCACTGGGTGGCGGTTATCCGGCAGTGGACTGGCAAAGGAAGGGCTCTACAGCGGATGGGGCTAACATACCGGCTGCGGAGCCCTTGCGGCCACTGCTCGGGGTTGTAGGTGTCCAGCAAGCTGCCTGTTGGACAGGGCGCCTGTCTGCTCGGGAGGACGTCACCATGGCGTCGCCGCCGCCGTCGTCGTACCGCCCTATTGCACCGCTGTGCCTCAGCAGCACGCTCTCGTTCACAAAGGTGCAGTCCACGCTCAGGTCCTCCGGGCCATGATTGTCGTCGTTGCTGCTGTCTCCATCTCTCACATCTGATGCACTTCCGCCAAAACGGGGGCTTCTTGGAGCCTTGAAGATTGAAAGTGCAATATTCAGATGTCACTCGATTCACAAAAAGGGATGTGGCCATGAAAAAACATTACGATGAAAACGAGAGTTTGTGAATCGGAATGGCTTTCCCCATTAATTTGGTACTAAAGTTAGGGATGTGTTTCGGACAGTCATTGCAACTCTACTCCTAACCTAAAAATATATACACCTGTATCAGTCAGAATATTTATTGATAATGCGGGAGGAAATCCGATGAGCGTTACGGCAACAAACAGACCTACACACGACGATAGGAGTGAAAAGTATAGGAAAGGTAAGCAAATCACTTAAAGAGGTACCCACACTTTACCACACCGCACACAACCTGACGTTGATCGACTGTGCTGCAACCCATTTACCGTGTACCGGTAGGTGGACAGAGGCGGGCGGGCGGGCGGGCGGTGGAGACGAGGGGATGTTACAACAATACAAAAAACAAAATCACTTTTCATAGTAAAACATTTTTAAAGAATGTAAATATTACAACGATCAAATCATTAATTAGAAGTTAAAATAATTAACCTTTCCAGGAATGACTGGAAAGGCGACGCGAAGGCGGTTTGGGGACACAGCCTACCGGGTGGCTTCTCGCCCGACGATCTCACGGCGCGAGCGTGGCTATGGCGAAGTTTCGTCCACGCGGAAGTTCCGTTGCGTCAATTGAGCAGCGTCCGGAAATTGGTAAGTGCGTTCACGGGAGACCTCGCGCTGCGTCTACCTGTGCCGTCGGGCTGTCCTCATCATACTGGGAGAGGCAAGCGGAGGGGTCAATGCGCCACAGCATCATTTCGGCCCCATCGGTATCCGCCGCCGGAGTAGCAGCTGCGGCGCCTGGCACAAGCGAGCCACATACAGAGCGAAGCACGGATGTCAAATACAGGGGGAGGGGGTGGGGTTACACTAAACATGCCACACAAAGACCACGCACAGACCACATGCACACATGCCACACACAGGCCACACAATATGGCAAGACCCAAATGGCAACACAACTTTTAACTAAAGTTGAATTAATATTGGGTCATCTTAAACAGTTATAGTGACTCCCTCCACCCCCCTCCGCCAGTAACAGACAGATGGACAAATCTAATGCATGAATGCTTTCAACCTTAGTAGCGAAGCTATTAACTACTATATTTATTTTACCAGGGTAAGGCCCAATGAGTAATATAGCTTGGTTTCAGAAGCGACCTGGCCATAGATGATAGCTCAATGAAGTGGCTTATCGCGTAGAAATTTATAGCAGCCAAATTCTAAAAACGCGTGATTTTGATTGTAAATGTGGATGGAAAACCCGGAGGACCCGGAGAAAAATCCACACGACCACGGGGAGAGAGAGACACCGCAAACTCAAAATATACAGCAGATGTCAGGGTCGGGATCGGACCCACAACGTCCTGTATACCAGTCGAGGTAGTTAACATCTCTCCACTGTTGCACTCCACCACAAAGCATGAATAACTAAACCCCCTCCCGCCCCACCCATGGCGCTCGAGCAGACGTCCCGTACCCGAGGAGGTGAGCACGGACGCTGCCCCTCGCGCTTCCAGCGGGGGGGAGGTCCCAGTCGCCACTCGGCTCCCTGAGGCTCGCCGCCCCGGCTCTCCCCAGTCGTCGCTCGTTGCCCGCCGCTGCCCCCTCCGCCACCACACCGCCTCTGCAGCTGGGATCTTCCAATCGGCAAAGTCTCGCATCACGCCGGGGACCGCGTCGGGTGGCGTGGTCCCCACATCTTGCGCCTCTTCGATTGAAGCGACGGTAAAAGACCCCGGCGGTGCAGGCGGCTCCTGGCTTGACAGCTTGCGGCCCAGCAGCGACGGCGAGTCCGCGTCAGTCTCCGCGGAGGCCGGGTCAGGCGAGGTCGGTGTTGCCGCCTGGAGCGACCCGTGGTGCAGAGGCCCCAACAACCCCGTGTGTCCGCACGCCCTGGGGGGCTTGCGTCCACAACGGCTGAGAACAGAAGTTACTAATCGGCTGCGTTGGGTGGTGGCGAGTTAACGATACATTTATATTTATGCGATCTAACCCAAAATAACCTTGATTATGTTCCTACCCAGGCTTGCCAGGAGGCCGCACACCAAAGTTTTGGACTCCACCTGTTACATCTGTATGGGATAGTGTTTCTCCCTCGCATGCGGGGGATCTCTCCAGATGCTCCAGTTTCCACTCACAGGTAAACGCTCATTAAACCTTTCCCATTTAATCGATTCCAAACGGAATCCATGGTAAAAGGCCATGTGGTAGGGGCATGTGGCACAGTTTGGCGCCAGCTATAGTAGAGTGCGGCAGTGGTGCCGCTACCACTGGCGGAGCCAGTTGGGGGGGGTGGGGTGGTTTATTAGTAACTAGCGGTAAGTACCCGGCGTTGCCCAGGCGAAAAAGACAGACACACACATCGACTTGCACACACTTTCAATGTACATGAGTTTAGCGTAAGAAGCAAGGAACAGCAATATTGATTGTCCGCACATCAACATTATGATTGTAATATTTGGCAGGTGATTATTTAAGAAAAAGGTTTCTATCAACGTGATTTGACACAATAACAAACATATCAACGCAGAGCAAGTTATTAATAAATTATTAGTTGTGGGCACACAAACGAAAATGTGAATTCTAGATTTGAAGCTTTCGTGACTGCAAGGATTCATACTCTTAGTTTGTTCGGTAAAGTCACTTAGGTAAAAAATTTAAATAAAAATTAAATAATAATAAATCACGACGTTTCGGAGGCAACACAAATCTCCGTCATCAGGTGGGACTGTCACAGTCAGATTTGCTGTATCAAGTGAGGCAGGGATTCCAAGATACAAGTTCTTAAATACAGTACATAAAATCCGTGATCTAATTCCATCTGTGAAGGATGTCATCCCTGACTTGCAATACCCTGGAGTCTATAAACTGAGTTGCAGCTGTGGTGATTGTTACATTGGGGAAACGAAACGTCATGTCTCTGATCGTGTACGCGAGCACAAGTCAGATTTGAAACACGGCAAAATTGAGTCTTCCGCCGTTGCCGATCATTGCTACAACGCAGTGGGCTCTCATGATATTGTTTTCTCCGAGACCAAGGTGCTCTGCTAACCCTCTGGCTACCATCAAAGGTTTGTACACGAAGCCATTCAGATATACAAACACAGACATCATTTCAACCGTGATGATGGGTACAAACTTAGTAATCATTGGAAAGATGTTATTAACCATGCAAAAAAGATTTAACTACACATTTTTGGACCATCGTATCTGACAGGCACTATTTTACTTTACCGAGTGTTAACATCCCCAGCGTTTAACAGTACTCTCCTTTTTCGTATTTGATTTTCAGCCAACACTGGTAAAAAAAAAAAAGAGCATTTTCGTTCTCTTCTATCATGTGCACCAACAGGTACTTGTGCACAAACAGGTCCATGTACACGTACTCCCTGTCCTCTCTTTTAGCCACCCCCACCCTTCCAATACGTTATCATGTACAACAACAGGGGCTTGCACACAAACACGTCCACGTCGACGTCTACGCACATCTCTTTTAGCCCCGTCCCCCCCCTCCCAATACGTTCCATTCATTGGCTACCACATTCTGATAAGCTCCCCCCCCCTCCCCCTTAACTTGTATTTAAGAACTTGCATCTTGGAATCCCTGCCTCACTTGATACAGCAAATCTGGCTGTGATGGTCCCACCTGATGACGGAGACTTGTGCTGCCTCCGAAACGTCGTGATTTTTTTATTATTTTATTTATTATTTTTTATTTAAATTTTTTACCTACGTGACTTTACCGAAAATGTAAATATTTGCAAGTTGATTATTAAAAGACCAGGTTAATGTCTACATGAGTTGAGCAAAAGAAGCAAGGTATTGGAAAATTAGTTGTCTACACACAAACATTAATAATGTACATTCATTGTGTCTTTCGTTAAAGTCACGTAGATAGAAAAATAATGAAAAGTGTAAAAAATATCACACAATACCATACAAGAACAACAACCGCCATTCGGCACTAAGTGGCGGTGACGTCACCACAACGCTTGTGGCAGGCTATGTGCACCTTGAGGCCACGTGAAGTGTTGAACGCATGCTGGCAGGAGGTGACGGGGCAGACCCAGATGCGACAGGTCGATTGACTGAGACGAATGGCTGATGCACCACCTGTGCCCCCTACTGTGCCAACTTTCTGTGCTTTAGTCACCCGGCGCTCTGCCCGTTGTTGTGAGCGTCGCTCCTCCGCCCTCCGTTGTTGTTGGAGAACAACTGGCTCCAACTAGCAGTAGCGGTCCTTAACGGGCCTCCTCCACAGAGGCCGATCTTGACAGCACTGGTAGCAGTCATCGGCAAGTCCACTCAGCTTCACATCCTCCTGTACCACATCACTCCATCTCTTCTGTAGCCCGTGCCGTGCCCGTTTAGCCCCCACGATCCGGCCGAACAAAAGCTGTTTAGGCATGCGGTGGCTGAGCATGCGGGCTACATGGCCCAGCCAACGCAGCCTTGCCTGCCGGAGGAGCTTACCGATGGGACTTTGGCCACATCATTAAAGGATTTGTGAGCTCCTCACACAATCCAGCCTGATTAGACCCAGGATGGATCATAGGCAGGCCAGCCTAAATGTTTCTAACCGATGAAGATGTTCCATGTGGCCGAGAAGACCTGAAGCTTCGTGCGGAGCGACAGACCAGGTAGCTTCCACACAGCGCTATGCAACCGATGAAAAGACAATGCCGCTCGACTGATTCGGAGTGAGAACTGTTAAACCGGAGCCGGTCATGAGCACACTGCGCAGGTATGGGCAACTCTCCACTCTCTCCACAACTGCCCCATCAGCAATTTGGAGTTTGTGGCGGTGGAGTGTCCGATGGTACAAAATACCCAAGCAGGTGCTTAGTTTTGGTGGGGCTGATGGCAAGGTCCCACCTCTAAGTGGCAAGCTCCAGGTTCAGCAGCAGCGCCTCCAACTCCTCGTCTGAGTGAGCAGCAATTACCAGATCATCGGCATACATAACATGGTTGAGCAATAGGAAGCCATCCCTCGACCGCACCCGGGCATCGATCAGCCTCCCATTGTATCTGTACCAGATGGAAATTCCTCCGGTAGAGCTATTGAAGGCTTCACGAACTACGTGGTAAAATAGATGTAAAATAATGTGGGAGCCAGAGAACATCCCTGTCGCACCCCAAGGTGTACAGGGGATAGCTCCGACTCCTGGCCACGTAGTTTTAGCCGGGCCCGCTCACCATCATGAAGGTCCTTAATGATCGTGAGCAGAGGGAGAGGGACTCCGAAAGCACGCAGAACAACCCAGAGGTCAGGCCTACTGATGGTATAATAGGCATTGACCAGGTCAAACACATTCCTGCAGAGGGAGCTGGTAGGAACGTTGGGTTGCTCGGTCAATGGCCAGGGTCAACGGCGGCGTGGTGTATTCCGCAAATATGGCTGACTGTGAGGGTGGGCACAAGCCGGCGTGAGTAGGTTATAAGGGCATCACGGGGTGACCAGCCCCTCCCCACCCAGCCCCACCCCTCCCACCCCCCACCCAGCCTCACCCTCCCCACCCAGCCCCTCCCCACCCTCCCCTCTCCACCCAGCCCCACCCCTCCCATTTTTGGATGCACGATGGACGGGCGAACGGACACAATAATCCCCTGTGGGCTGGTGTAACCAGGAGGTTGCTACCAGTATAAAGCAGAGATATAGGTCTTGTTGGAATTCCCTACACCTCAGCTGTAGCAGACAGACAGAAAGTATGGCATCTGTGCAGAAACGCCCTTTCCTAAAACCGCAATAAAACCGCACAATACAATACACACCATGCTATACACACAATACGATACACACCATGCTATACACACAAGACTGTAGACACAATACCACACACACCATGCTATAGACACAATAGCATAGACACAATAGCATACACACCATGCTATGCACACAACAGCAAACACACAATAGCAAACACAATACTGTAAACACCCGACTATACACACCATGGTATAGACACAATAGCATACATAGAATGGTACACAAACAATACCAAACACACAACACTGTGTGTATGGTATTCTGTGCTTGGTATTGTGTGTATGGTATCATGTGTATAGCATGGTGTCTATGGTATTATGTGTATACCATTGTGTGTATGGTATTGTGTGTATGGTGTTGTGTGTATGGTGTTGTGTGTATGGTGTTGTGTGTATGGTGTTGTGTGTATGGTGTTGTGTGTATAGTGCGGTGTGTATGGTGTTGTGTGGATGGTCGTGTGTGTATAGTATGGTGTGTATGGTATTGTGTGTATAGTACGGTGTGTATGGTGTTGTGTGCATACCATTGTGTGTATGGTATTGTGTGGATGGTCGTGCGTGTGTGTATAGTACTGTGTATGGTATTGTGTGGATGGTCGTGTGTGTGCATAGCATGGTGTGTATGGTATTGTGTGTATGATGTTGTGTGTATAGTACGGTGTGTATAGTACGGTGTGTATGGTATTGTGTGTATGGTACGGTGTGTATGGTGTTGTGTGCATACCATGGTGTGTATGGTATTGTGTGGATGGTCGTGCGTGTGTGTATAATACGGTGTGTATGGTATTGTGTGGATGGTCGTGTGTGTGCATAGCATGGTGTGTATGGTATTGTGTGTATGATGTTGTGTGTATAGTACGGTGTGTATGGTATTGTGTGTATGGTACGGTGTGTATGGTGTTGTGTGCATACCATGGTGTGTATGGTATTGTGTGGATGGTCGTGTGTGTGTATAGTACGGTGTGTATGGTATTGTGTGTATGGTGTTGTGTGTATAGTACGGTGTGTATGGTATTGTGTATGGTATTGTGTGTATAGTGCGGTGTGTATGGTATTGTGTGTATGGGGTTGTGTGCATGGTATTGTGTGTATAGTACGGTGTGTATGGTATTGTGTGTATAGCACGGTGTGTATGGTATTGTGTACAGTAAAACCTTGGATTGCGAGCATAATTCGTTCCGGAAACGTGTTCGTAATCCAAAGCACTCGTATATCAAAGCGAATTTCCCCATAAGAAATAATGCAAATGATTCGTTCCACAAACCAAAAATACTGTATTCATATAAAAGTTATTAATACAAAATACCTTTTTCAATTTTTATTATTTAAATTAAATAAACAAATCAACTAACAAGAGCATTGAAACTGCCCAAGTAATTAAAACGATCAAAATACCGTACATTGCGGGAGTAACTGATAAACTAGCCAGATGTTTGGAAAAACAAAACATCCGAGTCAGATTTGGCACGGTACATAAAATACAGAATCTAATATCTGGTACAAAATATGTATTACCGAAGCTATCAATAGAAGGTGTGTACAGGATTAACTGCACGTGTGGTAAATGTTATGTTGGGCAAACAGGACAAATGATCAGCACGAGACTAAAAGATCAGAGAAATATTACATTCTCCCAAATGCAACTGTCAGCAATAGCAGAACACGCATGCCAACAAGGTCACTCAATTGATTTTGATAATATTTTGTGCAAAACTAGCTACTACTGGCCAAGACTTTTTAGAGAATCTATCAAAATTGAAATAAATTAAAATAGCGTTAACCGTTCGGATAGCTACTGTTTTAGTGCTGCGTGTAAGAGATCGTCAGCTAATAAATTATTTAAATGCATGTCTACAAAGGGCAGTGTACTGCAATAGTGATTACCGTTGGTAGGGCTATTTGAATAAACACAATAGACAGGAAGGACAAGTTCAAAGGGCTCGCACATAATGCACATGCATAATGTACGTTGCCTCCGGAATTCCCCCCCCAAGAGCGCAGAAGGGTGGTCAACACATCTACGCCTCTATACAAGTGTAATGTGAGGATATATCCGTCTCACTGACGTATCACAACTCGTCATGATGATTGGCTCTGCCGGTTCTGGTCCATAGCCAATGAGGGGGAAGCCTAGGGGCGTGGCCCTGACGTAATGGAAAGGTGACAGCTGTAAGGAGAGGATTGGTTCTGCTGGCTTTGGCTACAGCCAATGGGGAGATGAGTCAGGGGCGTGGTCCCGGGAGCCTACGAGGGAGTCTGGAATATTCCATAGAGCCTAACCAGGATAGGTGGTAACGTACCACGTGACCCGGGTATTAAATAGGGGTGGAGACGAACAACACGTGGTCATAACTGGAACGAACGGAGGAGGAGGCCACGCGAGAGCGGGGCTCCAAGTTGCCACGTGGCTGCACGTCTCTCGCTCTCTATCCCTTTCACACTGCCGGTCAGCAGCGTGAAGGAGAGCTGTAATGAAAAGTGAATAAAAGACCGGATTCCAAAAGTCGCCTCAACGACCTTTATTACATAAGGAACGAAACAACAGTAAGACTTCTCCACAAATCTGGCTGTCGCCTGATGAAGCTAGTTGTAATTACTGGCGAAACGTCGTACTCAGTTTGTAAATGTTGTGGCTTGGCTCTCCAACACACCGGTGTGCTGTACTAGTGACGAATTGGTATGTTTTGTTTATGTGACAACCCTTACTAGTTGGCTGTGTCGGGTGGTGGCGGGTTTTAACGACACATTGATATATTTACGCGATCTAACCCAAAAACCTCTATTATGGATTCGTTCGTTCATTTCTCAGTCCACTTGTCCTGGTGAGGGTCGCGGCGCCAACATGTTGACTCGTGGCGGTCCAGACCTCCCTTTCTCTACCGATGGACTCTTCCTGCGGGAATTCTCAGGCGTTCCCAGGCCAACTGAGCGACATAGTCCCCCGCCAGTGTGATATTCATTTGCGTGGATAAAATTTGTTTGATTAAGACGCGACCGACGTTCTTTCTCAGGGGCAAACTCAAAGGTAAGTCCGTCAACGCGGAACGGATGCCGGTGCATTCGCAAAATTGCCAACTCGGCGTAACTTACGGTGTGAAGATGAAGCGTGTCTCCGGTGCGCGTGCTGGGGGACCGTCATCACCCAGCTCGGAAGGCAATGGCGTGGTGCAGACGTCCGGGGTGCTTGGGCCCCATGGGGGGGATGGCCCGGTACCTCGTGCCGGCGGTAGTGGTGATTTGGTAGCCGTGCCGACGCCACTCACGCGGCGCTGCAAAGACGACGCCATGACAAGTCGCACGGCTCAGATAGTCACTCGGGAATGCCGCAGAATCTCCAGAACTAGCACCGACATTACTAATGAACCGTGACACTTCGCCGATATCGTCGAGGAGCGTAAAACCATCATGGAAACTCTGATCATCCTCGCAGCAGCAGCAGGAGCGGCTTTTGTCTGGCCATCGAACAAATTGGTCACCGCATCGTGCACTTTCGGACGCGCTTCTCCGGGCCGTCTGGAACGCTTTTCCTTCTGATATTAGGAAGCCACTGGAAGATATGCACTTTTAAATCATCATCTAGATTGAAAACTTTTTTATTCAGAACTGCTTTTTGTGTTTAGTTTGTTGTCCTTCCTCTGCACCTCCGATTAGCACAGCTGGCTACGTATGGTGCGAAAGAAGTTCAACATACAGTACATAAATACATACAATTGGAATCAACCTTCCTGTTAACTATTTTTATTCAGACGTACACGATTGTGTATCGGGCACCTCAACGTTTGGGTTAAGCGACGTAATGATCTGGCAAAATGTATTGCTGTCAAGCCCTCCACCACCAACCACTACATATCCAAATGAAATTGTCAGGTGCGCAAGCGTTTAACGAAGCGCTAATGATTATATTTGTGTCTCGCTGGTAGATTGTCTGCGCCTAAGTGAAAGAACAATGCTCACGATAAAATGCAGAAATTTTACACGACGTTTCACTTAAAACCGCGCAAAGCAATAGGGTTTCAAGACATACATTTGGTCATGAAAATCTATGCATCAAGTTACTTCACTCAACGGTTTGCAATTGACGAGACATTTTTCAATGTCTTAACTAGGAAACAAATGCATCACAAATCATCGCCCCCTGCTGAGAAAACTTAGCAGGACCCTCTTCCTGAATAAGTGACTTGAGACTGAGTCAGGCTTTCCTGGGTAAAACAAATATTATAATAATCTACACAAACAGAGAAGAGTTGACCTGCAGATAAGAGCTATGCACTAAGTCCACCACAGTGGAGTTGGAGATGATTCCTGTCACCTTCACATCCGGTACATCCAGAGCCAGAGTGTCTGGAACAAAGATAAGCTCCTCCTTCTGCTGCCTCCTCTGGTGCTGCTGGCGCAGTGTTGCCATGGGATAATCTGGAACATCCCACATCACACCGGGCTTAAACATTAACTTGGGGTGCAGACATCACGTGCCCGAGCCTAAGCCCGTGCAGAGAGGAAAAAATTATCGCACGGAGAGCGCACAGCGATGTACACTGGTAATTAATCATGAGAGGCCGGAAGCGGAACATGTGGGTTCAGAGAACGAACGTGAATTAAGATACATCAATGTGACTTTAAATTTCGATTTAAAGCTTTCGTGACTGCAGGGATTCATCTTCTTGGTTCTTTCGGTAAAGTCACGTAGAAGGGAAGTAATAAAATAATAAAATAAAACATAATCAAATAATTCTCACGACGTTTCGGCCACAACGCAAGCAGTGTATAATAACAAATAGTATAAAATGTATATGCTTAATACAATGTACAAAGTAATATATAGTATCGTAATTGTATAGTGAATATACAGCAGTGTGATATACATTAGGGTGGGTAGAATAATACATAGTGTAATATTACAATGTATAAGGTGGTTTATAGCAATACAGTATATAATTTAATGTTGGGTTTGTCTATGGCAGTATATAGTACGGTGTAGACTCGTGTAGATGGAAGTATATTATATTTTTTACGACGTAGAATTGTAATGTATTACTTACTGTTAGTAACTCAGCTTATTGTAGAGTATATTTAGTATACTGATGATACTATGTAGTTTATACTTTAGTTGTTTACATGGTGGTTTTAGTTACTGCAGCTACATACTATTAACACTCCTTCCCTTTATTAATGCTACCCCTATCCCATCCCTTTGATGCTGCTAATCCTGCATAATGCACGGGCATAAGTAGTGCTAATCACATACCTGCATTTCCCATATCCCCTCCCTTTGATACTGCTAATCCTGCATAATGCACGGGCATAAGTAGTACTAATCACATACCTGCATTTCCCATATCCCCTCCCTTTGATGCTGATAATCCTGCATAATTTACGGGCATAAGTAGTACTAATCACATACCTGCATTTCCCATAAATATGCTAAATTCCTATTGATATGCAAATTATTTTGTCAAGACGCCCTTTCCCCCCTTCCAACCCAGCTTATATATATGCTCCAAGCACGTGTGCTGTTTCATTCAGACGCTGTCGCCTCGACAGACCTGGTTTTCACCTGAGGACGACTGCTTGCGTTGTGGCCGAAACGTCGTGAGAATTATTTTATTATGTTTTATTTTTATTATTTTATTACTTCCCTTCTACATGACTTTACCGAAAGAACAAAGAAGATCAATGTGACTGTTTGGAAAAGTGGGGGCTTGAGTAGATGTCGCAAGAATGGATGACGGCTGACGTATGAGACTAGTGACGGAATGGCATCCAATGGAGGGAATACGCTCAGGAGGATGAGACCACACGAGGCGGACCGATGGATCGTGGCATCACGGGACGGCGAGCGATGGCAACGGTGTGTGGAAAGGCCTTCATCCAGCAGTGGAGAGACAGGCTCTTGACAACGACGATTGATCTGTTAAACGACGAGCGGAACTCACCGTGGCTCCGCTCCAGCGAGTGGTGGCGGTAGCGTACGCGCTTCCGCACAGGGCTGCCCTTGTTGAGTCGCAGGGCAGCAGTGCGGCCCAGCTGCTGTCCATCTCTGCCCCACATGCTGCCCTTGGAGCCTGCACCCTCGGCGTTGTCGTTGCCCTCGTCGTTGTTGATGTTACCCTCATTGTCACCGTGTCCCCCGGGCTCCTCTTGGATCGTGACCCCCGACTGCCTGCACATGCCCAGCCACCGCACTCGCTCAGCGAGAGAACTAAAAGCCGACCCCGCAGCCAAAAATGTCGTACAACAGCCAAGGCTACCGTAACTTGAATGGAGCAAGGGTAACGCTGTTTTCTTGAATCAGGATTTGTTTCCCCCTTTGTCGTCCCTTGACGTTATTTCAAAAACGTAGGCCATGTGTGCCTGCATCACGTTCCAACTCATTTGTTGAGAACTGCTTTATATGTTTAGTTTGTTTGTCCTTCCCCCGCACCTCCCGATTGGCTACGTACGGTGAAAAATAAGTTTAACATATGTACATACATTCAAGTGACCTCTAGTCCACACAGCAAATGGCAGCACTTTCCTACAAACCTTGCCACACAGGGTGATGTTCATCACATGATAATCAAGCCTATGTCTTTCTTTCATTCTCAGAGCTGGAATTCAGCAAAATTACATGTAGAACCAAATTTTATACGATGCGTTTTTGCAATGTGCAATCGATTATAACTTGCCCGACACAATCAACTCGCTACACATGAGAACCTGGCTTAATCACAGGCAGTTGCCTGGATTTAAACTATTTTATTTTATCAGGTAAGGCCCACTGAGCTATATAGCGCTTTTTCAAAAGCCACCTGCCTATCACAAATGATAGATCAACGAAGTGGCTTATCACGTGGACATTTATAGAAGCTAAATACTCTAAACGCACGTTGATCTAAATGTGGAGGGAAAAACCGGAGGACCTAGCGAAAAATCCACGTGACCACGAGGAAAGAGACACGCAAACTCGAAATATACAGCAGGCAGGGTTGGGATCAAACCCACGACCTCCTGCATACCAGGTCGAGGTAGTTAACATCTCGCCACCGTAGCGAGATGAACCCAGGATCTCAGTAGGACCGGCTCAGCGTGCTGAGTTTGGGGCTAAGAGGCCCTTGCGTGGCCTAAACGGCCCCAGTGTGGCCTGTGGCTCTCACCACTGATGCTGCAGCTCCCGAATGGTCTCCTTCTGCCTTTTGAGCTGCTCTTTGAGACGCCGGTTTGAATCAAACACCTCTTCCAGCGTCAGTGCATCCCTGCCACAACACCCCAGCAGAAACCATAATTTTGTAAAGATTACGATTGCTTTTTTGTTCCCATTTTTCTTTCATTAAAAGAGACGATGATAGGTAATTCCAAATTGGAATTGTTTATTCATTTACTAGGTAAAGCCCACTGAACTGTGTAGTTCTTTTTCAGAAGCAACCTGGTCACAGATAGCTCAATGAAGTAGCTTATCCTGTGGAAATATATAACAGCCAAATACACGAACCACATGTTCATTCTAAATGTGGAGGGAAAATCGGAGGACCCGGATAAAAATCCTTGTGACCACGGGGGAGAACATGCAAACTCCAATATACAGCAGGCGTTAGTGTCGGGATCGAACCCACAAACTCCTACATACCAGATGAGGGAGTTAATATCTCGCCACCTGAGTGTGAGGGAAGAAGCAGAAATATTGGTGTGATTTACAGTGTTGGGGGTGGCTGGGCGAGTGTGTAAATGGGTGGTTGACTGGTTGAGTGAGTGGGTGAGTGAGTCGTTATGCGAGTCGTTGAGCGAGTGAGTGTTGTGACCTGCAGCGTGGTGGTTGAAGACTGTGGTCGAGACAAAACAGTCTACCTGATAATCCAAGTACTGTAAAACCTTAGATTGCGAGCATAATTAGTTCCAGAAACGTGTTTGTAATTCAAAGCACTCGTATATCAAAGCGAATTTCCCCATAAGAAATAATGGAAACTCAGATGATTCGTTTCCACAACCCAAAAATATTCATGTAAAAATTATTAATACAAAATACCTTTTCATATTTTTATTATTTAAATTTAATATAAAGTAATCAAATTTATTAATTAAATTTAATTGTGGCTGGTGTGAGGGAGAGATGAGAGAGAAGAGAGGAGGAGGGTTATTGTGTAGGAGCGACTTTCACCGTCACTAACGGAATCACTACCATGTGTTGGCTCACTGGAATCTTTTTGTTTTTGTGCGACTTTAACAAGGAACCTAACCTCCTTTTGAAGATTTCGTGGAAATGTGACATTGCATTGTCGTTAAACAGATTCATCGCTCGCACTGCTACAGCCTTATTCAGGTGGTGCTTTTCTATGGATGTTGACTATACGAGTGAGGCACGCCGACTGAGACCGAGCATGGGAGACGATTACCCACAATCCCGCAGCGAGAGAGATAAGAACCATCGGCTCAGTTGTGATCACGTGACGCTCGGCAGACAAAGCGTATACGTAGTACTCGTATTGCAAGACCTCGCTCGTTTATCAAGTTAAAATTTTTTTCAAATTTGCTCGTCTTGCAAAACACTCGCAGACCAAGTTACTCGCAATCCAAGGTTTTACTGTAATTGGTTCCTTTACCGATTATCGGTTCCATTACTCAACTAGTCGGATAAAATGAGAATAGTTATGGTAAAAAAAAGGGAGATGTAGAATCACATGACACTGGGCTGTCCTTATTTCCTTTCAAAAAAATGTGTATTTTGCAGGGGGAGTGGAAGTAGGGGGGAGGGGGGACACCGCCTCAACTGACTTATTCCGTGTATTACTGTTTTTTTTACCAAACCTCATCCCGTTAATATCATAAACAAAAATTTCCGTGCCAAAATCGAGGCCTTTACGAAAAAATTAGCGTTTCTCAACTCACAGGCAGCGCTCCTGCTTGAGCTTGTTGATCTTGTCGAGCAGGGCTGAAGGGGATGGGAAAAGAGAAAGGAGAGAACCACACTGGCTGCTGTTATGCCCTGTAAAAGTACAACCGTGATAACCGCTCACAAGACTAAAACGGACCACCAGGCTTGCTCGAAAACGGCGGCTTTGATGAGGATTTTATTGACGCAACAACCTGCTGCTCATATGCTCTGTTGTTCATTGATAATACTAACTTATATACCCCAGTAAAGCATCAGAAAACTACTTATTTCAGCAGGGTCCCTGCTATATTGACATGTTTGGTCAACACAAATGACATTGAATGTCAGAATAAGAATCCGAATATGAATTTGTTCTGGCGAAATCTGATGAGATATGAAGCTCTTTTTCACAATTGTCCAGTCATGGTGGGTCAGCAAGTTACAACAAACAACAGAGCAAACGATCGGACTGCAAATTATAGAAAAGAGATAAGCGAGGAAACTGGAGAATTTGGAGGAAACCCATGCAGAACAGGGGGAGAGAATATACCAACCCCACCAATACCCGCCATTCACCACTAAGTGACGGTGATGTCATCATGGCACTTGAGCCAGGCCAGGTGCACTTTGAGGCCATGTGAAGGGTCGAAGGCTCTCTGACAGGAGGTCGCAGGACAGCTGCCATGGGTTGACGAGAGGACTGGCAGATGCACCAGCTGTGCCCCCTACTTTTCCAAACTCCAAAAATCCCCCATGTACCCTTAACAGACTGTTGGGGCAAGTACTGTTAACGAGCACCTATGAAGGCTGGCACAGCACACGAGGGGGGTGGGTGGCCAGCACCACGCCCGGCCACCTTTGTTTCCCACAGTGGTGATGTTTTTACACACCGCACCAAGTACTAATTTGAGGTTGAGATGACCTAGGGGAGGACCAATTCAGATAATCCGTCACTGGTGTTGGCGGTGAGCAGGAATCGAACCCGAGTTTGTAGCACAGCGCGCTAACCGCGACACTACCGCTTACTACAAACTCCAACAACAACCACCATTCGCCACTAAGTGACGGTGACGTCACCACAGCGCTTGTGCCAGGCTAAGTGCACTTTAAGGCCACGTGAAGTGTCAAACGCCCGCTAGCAGGTCACGGGACAGACCCAGGTGCCATGGGTTGACTGAGATGCACAAACCCCACACACTCATACACACACACACAACAAACTCACACAACACTCACACTGTAAAATATGGGGATAATCTACAAACTTCTCGCAGAAAGGTGCCTGAGTTAGTAACTGAACCCAGGTTTTTCTTGCTATGAGGTACAAGTGTTACCACTGCATCACCCTGCCAACCATGGACCACCCTTCGCATGAAATGTGTCTGGTCTGCTCCAAACTCACCCTCAACTTTGCGGTTGTGAAACTCCTTCAGCTGTGACAGAATTCTGTGGAAGCCGATGTCACCGCTCTGCCCTGGGCTCCCACTCAATGCGGAGTTGCTGAGCAGAATTGCAGGTGGTCTTGGGGAAGGGGAGAGGCCCGAGACCCTCTCTGCCATGCTCAAGTCCTGCATTCATAAGTGTGGTTGGACATCACCTGTGAATGCAAGCTATGCAACTGTGAATAACGACAAGCACCATATAGATGCGTGTTTTGAAGACTATAAGAGCGAGGCCTTCGAGTCAGTTGATGACCAGGATATGTGGGCAATTATGGACAAGATAGGTTTCTCCAACTTTTGATGAAGATCCTGTTTAACAACCGAGACTTTGCAGGGAGAGTGGCAGTAAAGCTTTTACATTCGTCTTTTGAGTACAACAACGTACACTCCAATATTGATACTATGCTCTAGGGCAGTATTCTTCACAAATTTTCAGTGGGGGCCACTTTCGCCAATAGGACATCACCAGTGTGTGAGGGCCGCCACACATTTGAAACCATTGGGGTTTACAGCACGATGATGGGGAGAGGGGTGTTTTGACATGTTCTGTATTATCGGGGGCCGCACTAAAGGCTACCAGGGGCCGCACTAAAGACCACCAGGGGCCGCCAGCGGACAGCGGGCCTTGCAATGAAGGACACTGCAGTAGGGGATCAATTCAACATCACTTTGAAGACACGAATAATTAGGAGACATACTGAACAATCCTTTATGCTAACGTACAGGGCATGTGCACAAGAGACTTAGTATTTGACTGCAATGGTACGATGAACTACTATATACAATCATGATACTACCGTACTGAACTTTGTGTTACAAACGAGAAAAAACTTCAAAGTGAGAATGTTAGAAATTATTTCACAAACGTATAACTATGAGAGCAATTAAAATAGTTTTAGCTGTACGCATGACCAAACGCAGCCCCCTCAAATGCGTGACCACTGTGCGTGCGTTAGTTATTTTTGCGAACGCTTTACAACATCAAAGTCTATGAATGAGCTCAAGCCTCCTATAAATCACGTGGTTCGCTGCCCCCCCCCCCACTCTTGACTCCCTCCGTGCAGCTCACTTCTGCTCGCTCCTTCTCTCTTCCCCCTCTCTTCTTTCCCCTATCATCATCCCTCCGTGGTCGCGATGATTTTTTCGCCGGGACCTCCCGTTTCCCCCCCTCCGCATTTAGTATCAACATCACGCGTTTAGAGTGTTTGGCTGCTATACATTTGCGCATGATAAGCCACTTCGTTGGGCTATCATTTGTGATAGAAAGAGTTAAATAGGTCAGTGGGGCCTTCTTACCTGGTAAAATCAAATTGGTTAGTTTTTCGTTTTCATCTTTCTTCATGCTGCTCATCTTGAGTCGTGCTCTCAATGATTGCTTGTCTCAGGAACTCCCGTCCCGGCCTTCTGTCCCTTTCTCAGTAATCTTTTTTATCCAACATTTTTTTTACCAGGTAAGGTCGACTGAGCTATTCGCTATGTTTCAGAAGCGACTGGCCACAAATGATAGGTCAATGAAGCGGATCAACACGTGGAAATGTACAGCAGCCAAATACTCTCTAAACACGTGATGTTGATGATAAATGTGGAGGGGAACACCGGAGGACTTGGAGAAAAATCCAGGTGACCACGGGGAGAGACACCGCAAGCTCCAAATATTCAGTAGCAGGCATCGTCAGAGTCGGTGTCGAACCCACGACCTCCTGCATACCAGGCGAGGGAGTTAACATGTTCCAGCCACCGCGGCGCTTCTCACTGCCGTCTCCTCTGGCTACCCTTGTACAGAAGTGACTCAACTCTGCCCGTCCCGTGGTGGTGTTGATGCAAAGGGCAAAATGTTTGCATAACAATCTCCTAAAAACTGTTGATCGGGAAAAATGTTTAAACCTTAATTCTCATTACCCCCATTGCGTACACAATTGCAGTCTCCAAACTCGTATCACACACTACTCGTCTCTACTGGCCTCTCTTTCTCTATTTCATAATCAGAATATGAATTTACACTGGAAGAATCCGATGAGCTATAAAGCTCTATTTCTACAGATTCCAAATAAGGGGCACGGGGTCAGAACGTTACAATACACAAAACCACGATACGAGTACAAAGTGTAGCAAAGGGTAAACAAATCACGTTAAAAAACTCATTTTCTCTGAAGAATACGGGGTAAAGCGTATGGGGTGTGACAATTATGGGATTGTGGCGACGCAGGCGAGGCCCGGTGGTGTAGGCCTCCCCCACCTCCTTCAGCGTGAACGAACAACGCGGCTCCGTACCGTGGTCAGCCACTGCAGGGGACTCTCGCTCGCCGCGATCCGATAATCGATGTTAAACGATGTCGATCGAAGGTAAAACAAAATCCGACAGTTGAGCACAAATTTAAAACATCCCTCGCGTTCAACTCCCGCCTCGGGTTTGTCGGCTTCCGCGCTCTGACGTCACGCAAGGGCTTCCGCTCAATCCCCCCCCCCCCCCCCCCCTTTTCGATTGCTGAATGGTGCGGCGGCCCCAGTCTTGCCATTACCAATCACCGGTTTAGGGGCCATCCATTTAGTAGGAACGCAAAAATCTGTCAAAACGTGACCCCCCCCCGAATCCTATAGAACGTCCGATATTTAATCCAGGCAGAAACGATGAATGATTAAGAATATTAACGCATTTAAGTGTTTAAGCAAACATAGTCCACCGCCGGTTGCATTAAATAAGCAAGAACATTTTTTAAAAGTGGCGGTTTTTTAGAAGAAAAAACGCCACTTTTTTCAAATTTTCTTGTTGTGGTTTTCACACCTGATGATGATTGCTTGTGTTGCAATCGAAACGTCGTGATAATTTAATTGTTTTATATTTTTATTATTTTATATTTTATTGTTTCCCTGCAGTCACGAAAGCTTTAAATAAAAATGTGTCAAACATGTTTCAACACGAGTGGAATATTGCCGCGTACAGTAATTTCAACGCTTTTTTTTTTGCTGGGCCATGCAATTGTTGCCCGGTCACACGCCCTCGTCACGTGGATGATTTGAGGGCGAAGGGTGAACGGGGGTGAGGAGTGACGTGGGTGGGTGAGGGGTGACGTGGGCGGTGTGGGGTTGCGTGGTGAGGGTATCACGTGGGTGGTTTGTTGTTGGGGGTGGGGTAGCGTGGTGAGGGTATCACGTGGGTGGTGTGTTGTTGGGGGTGGGTTGCGTGGTGAGGGTATCACGTGGATGGTGTGTTGTTGGGGGTGGGGTTGCGTGGTGATGGTATCACGTGGGTGGTGTGTTGTTGGGGGTGGGTAGCGTGGTGAGGGTATCACGTGGGTGGTGTGTTGTTGGGGGTGGGGTTGCGTGGTGAGGTTATCACGTGGGTGGTGTGTTGTTGGGGGTGGGGGTAGCGTGGTGATGGTATCACGTGGGTGGTGTGTTGTTGGGGGTGGGGTAGCGTGGTGAGGGTATCACGTGGGTGGTGTGTTGTTGGGGGTGGGGTTGCGTGGTGAGGTTATCACGTGGATGGTGTGTTGTTGGGGTGGGGTTGCGTGGTGATGGTATCACGTGGGTGGTGTGTTGTTGGGGGTGGGGTAGCGTGGTGAGGGTATCACGTGGGTGGTGTGTTGTTGGGGGTGGGGTTGCGTGGTGAGGTTATCACGTGGGTGGTGTGTTGTTGGGGGTGGGGTAGCGTGGTGAGGGTATCACGTGGGTGGTGTGTTGTTGGGGGTGGGGTTGCGTGGTGAGGGTATCACGTGGGTGGTGTGTTGTTGGGGGTGGGGTAGCGTGGTGATGGTATCACGTGGGTGGTTTGTTGTTGGGGGTGGGGTTGCGTGGTGATGGTATCACGTGGGTGGTGTGTTGTTGGGGGTGGGGTAGCGTGGTGAGGGTATCACGTGGATGGTGTGTTGTTGGGGGTGGGGTTGCGTGGTGAGGGTATCACGTGGGTGGTGTGTTGTTGGGGGTGGGGTAGCGTGGTGATGGTATCACGTGGGTGGTTTGTTGTTGGGGGTGGGGTTGCGTGGTGAGGGTATCACGTGGGTGGTGTGTTGTTGGGGGTGGGGTTGCGTGGTGATGGTATCACGTGGGTGGTGTGTTGTTGGGGGTGGGGTTGCGTGGTGATGGTATCACGTGGGTGGTGTGTTGTTGGGGGTGGGTTGCGTGGTGAGGGTATCACGTGGGTGGTGTGTTGTTGGGGGTGGGGTAGCGTGGTGATGGTATCACGTGGGTGGTTTGTTGTTGGGGGTGGGGTTGCGTGGTGATGGTATCACGTGGGTGGTGTGTTGTTGGGGGTGGGGTAGCGTGGTGAGGGTATCACGTGGGTGGTGTGTTGTTGGGGGTGGGGTTGCGTGGTGAGGGTATCACGTGGGTGGTGGTGTTGTTGGGGGTGGGGTTGCGTGGTGATGGTATCACGTGGGGCGGTGTGTTGTTGGGGGTGGGGTTGCGTGGTGAGGGTATCACGTGGGTGGTGTGTTGTTGGGGGTGGGGTTTGCGTGGTGAGGGTATCACGTGGGTGGTGTGTTGTTGGGGTGGGATTGCGTGGTGAGGGTATCCCGTGGGTGGTGTGTTGTTGGGGGTGGGGTTGCGTGGTGATGGTATCACGTGGGTGGTGTGTTGTTGGGGGTGGGGTTGGTGTGAGGGTATCACGTGGGTGGTGTGTTGTTGGGGGTGGGGTTGCGTGGTGATGGTATCACGTGGGTGGGTGTTGTTGGGGGTGGGGTTGCGTGGTGATGATATCACGTGGGTGGTGTGTTGTTGGGGTGGGGTTGCGTGGTGAGGTATCACGTGGGCGGTGTGTTGTTGGGGGTGGGGGTAGCGTGGTGAGGGTATCCACGCTAGGGTGGTGTGTTGTTGGGGGTGGGGTTGAGTGGTGATGGTAATCACGTGGGGGGTTGTTGTTGGGGGTGGGGTTGCGTGGTGAGGGTATCACGTGGTGGTGTGTTGTTGGGGTGTGGGGTTGCGTGGTGAGGGTATAACATGGGTGGTGTGTTGTTGGGGGGGGTTGCGTGTGATGGTATCACGTGGGTGGTTGGTGTTGGTGGGTGGGGTTGCGTGGTGATGGTATCACGTGGGGGTGTGTTGTTGGGGGTGGGGTTGCGTGGTGAGGGTATCACGTGGGCGGTGTTTGTTGGGGGTGGGGTTGCGTGGTGAGGGTATCACGTGGGTGGTGTGTTGTTGGGGGTGGGTAGCGTGGTGATGGTATCACGTGGGTGGTGTGTTGTTGGGGGTGGGGTTGCGTGTCGAGGGTATCACGTGGGTGGTGTGTTGTTGGGGGTGGGGTTGCGTGGTGAGGGTATCAGTGGGTGGTGGTTGTTGGGGTGGGGGGTTGCGTGGTGAGGGTATCACGTGGGGGTGTGGGGTTGCGTGGTGAGGGTATCATGTGGGGTGGTGTGTTGGGGGTGGGGATGCGTGGTGAGGGTATCACGTGGGCGGTGTGGGGTTGCGTGGTGATGGTATCACGTGGGTGGTGTGTTGTTGGGGGTGGGGTAGCGTGGTGAGGGTATCACGTGGGCGGTGTGGGGGTGTTGCGTGGTGAGGGTATCACGTGGGTGGTGTGTTGTTGGGAGTGGGGTTGCGTGGTGAGGGTATCACGTGGGCGGTGTGGGGTTGCGTGGTGATGGTATCACGTGGGTGGTGTGTTGTTGGGGTGGGGTTGCGTGGTGAGGGTATCACGTGGGCGGTGTGGGGTTGCGTGGTGATGGTATCACGTGGGTGGTGTGTTGTTGGGGGGGGGTAGCGTGGTGAGGGTATCACGTGGGGTGTGGTGTAGCGTGGTGATGGTATCACGTGGGTGGTTGTTGTTGGGGGTGGGGTTTGAGTGGTGAGGGTATCACGTGGGTGGTGTGTTGTTGGGGGTGGGGTTGCGTGGTGAGGGTATCACGTGGGTGGTGTGTTGTTGGGGGTGGGGTGCGTGGTGAGGGTATCACGTGGGTGGTGTGTTGTTGGGGGTGGGGTTGCGTGGTGAGGGTATCACGTGGGTGGTGTGTGTTGGGGTGGGGTTGCGTGGTGATGGTATCACGTGGGTGGTGTGTTGTTGGGGGTGGGGTTGCGTGGTGATGTATCACGTGGGCGGTGTGTTGTTGGGGGTGGGGTAGCGTGGTGAGGGTATCACGTGGGGTGGTGGTTGTTGGGGGTGGGGTTGCATGGTGATGGTATCACGTGGGGCGGTGTGTTGTTGGGGGTGGGTTGCGTGGTGAGGTATCACGTGGGTGGGTGTGTTGTTGGGGGTGGGGTTGCGTGGTGGAAGGTATACACCTGGGGGTGTGTTGTTGGGGGTGGGGTTGCGTGGTGATGGTATCACGTGGGGTGTGTTGTTGGGGGGGTGCGTGGTGAGGGTATCACGTGGGTGGTGTGTTGTTGGGGGTGGGGTTGCGTGGTGAGGTATCACTGGGGGTGTGTGTTGGGGGTGGGGTAGCGTGGTGATGGTATCACGTGGGTGGTGTGTTGTTGGGGGTGGGGTTGCGTGGTGAGGGTATCACGTGGGTGGGTGTTTTGGGGGGGGGTTGCGTGGTGAGGGTATCACGTGGGTGGTGGTTGTTGGGGGTGGGGTTGCGTGGTGAGGGTATCACGTGGGTGGTGTGTTGTTGGGGTGGGGTGCGTGGTGATGGTATCACGTGGGTGGTGTGTTGGGGGTGGGGTGCGTGGTGATGGTATCACGTGGGGTGGTTGTTGTGGGGGTGGGGTGGTGGTGAGGGTATCACGTGGGTGGTGTGTTGTTGGGGGTGGGGTTGCGTGGTGAGGGTAACGTGGGTGGGTGTGTTGGGGGTGGGGTTGCGTGGTGAGGGTATCACGTGGGCGGTGTGTTTGTTGGGGGTGGGGTTGCGTGGTGAGGGTATCACGTGGGTGGTGTGTTGTTGGGGGTGGGGTTGCGTGGGTGAGGGTATCACGTTGGGTGGTGTGTGTTGGGGGTGGGATTGCGTGGGTAAGGGTATCACGTGGGTGGTGTGTTGTTGGGGGTGGGGTTGCGTGGTGATGGTATCACGTGGGTGGTGTGTTGTTGGGGGTGGGGTTGCGTGGTGAGGGTATCACGGGGGTGGTGTGTGTTGTTGGGGTTGGGTTGAGTGGTGATGGTATCACGTGGGTGGTGTGTTGTTGGGGGTGGGGTTGCGTGGTGATGATATCACGTGGGTGGTGTGTTGTTGGGTGGGTGGGGTTGCGTGGTGAGGTATCACGTGGGGGTGGTGTTGGGGTGGGGTTAGCGTGGTGAGGGTATCACGTGGGTGGTGTGTGTTGGGGGTGTGGTTGCGTGGTGATGGTATCACGTGGGTGGTGTGTTGTTGGGGGTTGGGGTTGCGTGGTGAGGGTACACGTGGTGGTGTGTGGTTGGGGGTGGGGTTGCGTGGTGAGGGTATCACGTGGGTGGTGTGTTGTTGGGGGTGGGTGCGTGGTGAGGGTATCACGTGGGTGGTGTGTTGTTGGGGGTGGGGTTGCGTGGTGAGGGTATCACGTGGGTGGTGTGTTGTTGG